GACTGCGATGCCTAAGTCCACCGCTCGATCAGGGCAGAGCAAGCCACCAGCCCACATCTTCCCCAAAGCCCCTCTCATGGGCCCTTGCTTCACAGAAAAATAGCTATCCTCATCGCCCTTCTCCAGACCAGCTCATCTCCAATCCGTTCAGGAAGGTGTTCTCTGAAACGAAGTACTTGCAGTCTGCGAATAGATTCGACAACCCTCTTCTCCAGATCGCGCGGAGCAACCTGTAGCAATGAATAGATCTGCCCCACATCATCAATACATTCAGCAGGCCTTGCAAACGTCCACCCAATTCTCGCCAGTGTGAGCCGTACCAGCGACACAGGTCCTCGCGCCAGAGCCCACGTAGGCTGACTTTTCGAAACTTGCCACACACCGCTCGCCACGCATGCTATGACTCAGATAAAGAAACACGCCCAAGATTTCGTAGATGAGGCTTGGGTTTCAAATTTCATACATTTAACCCCCGAGGAGAAGCCCCTCTGAGCCCGAGCTGTAGCGGCCACGAGCCCCGACTTCGATTGCTGGAAATTGGGCCCAAGCTCCCTGACATCAACCCCGAAGTTGTGCACGCGCGCATTTAGAACCGCTGCCTCTCGGGGATCGGGCCCTTGCCACTGCGACGTGAAATCGTCCATGAGCACGTGTGCTGTTATATTTCCGTACCTATTGTACAAATTATCTACCACCCGATAGAACACCAGCATCAACGCAGAGGTCGCATGATAACAGTCAGCTAGACTGCCTTGTCGAGCAACATGTGGCGAGCTAACATGACCGCACGCTCTGGCAGTACGTGGGACTCGAGACGTCTGGAGAATTACCCATAGCAGTCTCAACGGGTACTCGAGCACGCGCGCCTCCCGTCGTAGCATGCCCCATCGTATAGTCTCGTCGTGCTTGAACATGGCGAGGAATACAGTGATCACATGTAGCTCGCGCGCGTGTGCCGCCTCAGCCTGTAAGTTCAACTGGTGTGCACAGTCAGACGATGAGCGGCCTGCACCACTGCACCTGAACGATGGATGCTGATAACATGTCTCTCCCTAGCCACGCCGAGGCGCCGTCGAGCTCGGCCCCATATCCTCAACATTTCGTGCAGCAATGCGATTTCCCCCCCCCCTGGCCTTGATGTGAGGCCCCTCCTTCTGCCCCCGTCTCGTTAATTCAAGCTGTGCGCGGCCTGTTTAGTTTCGACCGGAAGAGGTGCGATCTCGAATCGCGAATCAAAAAAGTGGAGCAATGCGATGAGTCTGGTGCGACCTCTTGGCTTGGGCAGCGCACGCAACTGCGTGAACAGCTGCCACGAAGGCCACATCATAACATTCTCACAGATCATGAACAACTCTGCCAAGGCCGGCAGCCCATCATCTCTGCCAAGGCCGGCAGCCCATCACCACACGCAAGCCCAGAATGCCGAGGGAGAATGCGCATTAGCCCGCGACTTGTGCGTCGAGCAAAAGGCATGATCACTTTGCGCGGCTGAGCTCCCGTCATCACTGGCATCCGCCTCCATGTATATGCGTCGCCAGGCCGAGGAAGCTCACCAGCGCCGTGGATACTCTATCTTCTTCCATGTTTCCAAGTCCTGTTCAGCTAGCAGCGCTGGTGTAGAGTGATCGGACGCTTGCAGTACTTGCTGCAGAGCTCGAAAGGCGTGTGACTCGGTGGGCATCGCGTCCTCCATTCTTGAATGCCCCCTCTGCCCATTGCTGCCACTCTTCCTTGCGCTGGGCCGGTGGATGGATAGGGTGCTCAGAGAGCTGCTCCCCTCCCCGCCCAGGCCGTCGCGTCGCCCCTCCAGGCTGCTGCGGACCCGCCCTCGTCGCCCCGCCAGCGAGAGTTCGCTCTGCACTCCTCGCACCAACAGCGGCACGAAAGCCCACGGCGCTCGGAGGGCCCACGGGCGCCACTGTGTGCCCACCGTGGGCCCCGCCGAGCTCCCCGAGACGCGGGCCAGAGCTCGTTCCATGTGCTGCAGGACCCCCGTAGAGCGGGCCAGATCCTCATAGAGACTCCCCGGGGAGGCAGGTCAGAGCTCATGCGCGGCATAGCGGGACCCCCGAGTAGCGGGCCAGGTCCGCGCTCAAGTTCCCCGAGAAGCGGGCCAGAGCTCATGCCCAGCCATGTGGGGCCCCCGGGGAGCGGGCCAGGTCCCTGTCCGAGCTCCCCGGTGAGCGGGCCAGAGCCCGAACCCAGTGCCGTAATCCCAGCACATGCGCGGGGTCAATGTCGGGCTTCCGCGGCGACGCTGAGCCCAGCAGCCGCAGTGGCACACCATGACTTTGCGATCTGACGCCTGTGGCGGCTGAGCCCGGCAGCCGAAATGGCACGCCAGGACGATGCGTGTTGACGCCAGCATAGCCCTCACATGGCCCCCTTGTAACCCTCCGAGAAGGTCTCGAAGCCGATGGCCGACGCTGTTCCTTGATAGTTGCGGGTCTTCCCCCTGCCGCCGAGGCAGGGGCACCATCTTGAGAAATCCGATGCAGCA